GACATTATAGTAAAGGTGTGTCTCAGTTGAACTTTTACTTAATAAATGCACTTCAATTGTCAAATCAGCTGCATTTCGCCGAGGCGGCGCAGCGAAATGAAGCGGATTTGATGGTTGCTCCAGGCATGATCCCGGAGCTGGACGGAGGTGGCTTACTGTGGCAAGCCAATTGAGTCATTAATAGCCACTTTTATCTATTACATGCTACAACGGCATGCCATACTACTTGACTGCCATCTAGCGTCTGCAAATGGTAGTGTTCAATATTTTCAATGTCAGAATGAATGAAAATGGTCATTAACCAAAAATTGGTTTATAAATATGGGAAAAAAACATAAATAAGTTGCTTTGGTGTATGTCGCAGGGCATGTAAATTATGCAAAAAGATGCAACTTATAGGGTGAACAATATGGTACTTTGTTCCCCAAATTAGTGTCTCAACGTTTTTACAAAAGGAAATATAAAATTATTCTCATTAAGAGCCACCTGGTTGTTCATTCTACCTAATCGTGCACTTAATGTTTTAACATGCTGCATGCATTTTTGTTAATTTTGATCTAGTGAACACTTTAAATAGCTCAATTGTTTTTGTATTTCTGCAGGAGCCCACAATCTGACATCTCCACCTTCACAGGCTGAATCCTTACTGGCCATGTTTGATCCTCTGTCCTCTGGTGAAGGTAATTTGCAGTCTCACTGTGTTTCACAACCAACAAGAGCTAGAAATGACTACCATTATGTCCGTGCCCTAATGTCATGGAGTCATCGAGCAGCTTGAGCTGTACAGAATTAACCAAATGATTTCCACTACACTTTACTCTGACTTGAAGACATAAACTGTTAGCAGTTCAAATTAAATAGCTCTTCATTCTCCTAATGTAGCAGCCCAGAAATATTTCAGTCTTTCATTCTGCTGCTGCGCGTTTTGTTTGTAGCAAATGCACATATTAAAGGAATGGTAGTGGCCGTTTGTCTATGGCAAGGTGAAGGGATGACAGGTTGAGAGACCTCACCTCAGGCTCTTTGGCACTGTCCCCCTGTCCCACTGTGCACATGGCACAAGGCTGCCATTGGAAGCAGTTCAGGAAAGAGTCTACCCTTGGAACAGGTGGCCTACCTACACCTAGGGCTCATCTCCCTCCAACATCTCTTTAACTTTCTCCTCTGCTTTGAGGAGCTTTTTTCTGCTGATTGTTGCTTTTTACAACGTGGTGGGATGTTTTGGTATAAAACAACTGTACTTAATTATTTAAAATCTATTTAAACTGTTCTCCTGCGGTGAGCTGGTAAACATTTTCTCACCCCTACCCCCTGATGGTTTTTTTTGCTCTTATTACTTCAGGTTCCTCCACTGGGACAATAGTTAGACCCAAAGTGCACTATCCCAGGCCCAATCACCCTCCCCCTGATCCACCCATCCCTGAAGCCTGTGCCCTGGGGCCTGAGACGCGCCACTCTCTTTTCACACCACACAGCTTGGTCCAGAGTGAGCTGGAACACACAAAGCAGCGTCACTCCTTCCCTGACAGGCTGGTGCGCAGTCGCAGCTCTGAAATTGTGTGCCCCGGGCGCCGGCCCACAAGTGACCCTGGCCTTAACAGACGGGTGGCAGTAGAAGAGCGCGACTCTGCGGGGGCCTTCGTCTTAGGACCTTCCTCATCACCCAGCAAAGACTCCCTGAAAGGAGAGGTAACGTGCTTTATAGCGTAGTGCCCTGACTGCATAGGGTTGTTATGTGAGCATCTCTTAGACACACCTGAAAATAGTGACTTTAGAATCAGTGCTTCCAGAGGAAATACATTATGCCTCTTTTTCCCTTGTTTGTTTTAAACTGGCCCAGATTATTGAAACACCACACTTAGAAAAGAGAAACATGACGACGTGCCTGGTCAAATAATACACCAGTTGCACTTTTACTGTAATTTTTCTATCACTTCTCTTTTATAAACCCTATCATTAAACTGTTGTTCTATATTGTTTGAGTTTTTAGAGGTTAATATGAAAAAAACTGTTGCTGATTAAGACTAATGTTAAACAGTAACTGTTTAAATCAGCTTTTGTTTACAGTTCATTCAATAAATATTCATTTGAAAGAATTTAGGCAAAATTGCCTAAACTATTAAAATCTGTTTAGAAATGTTGTTTGGGTAATTGTTAAGTGTTTTTAAGCATTATGTCTTCACATTGGTAAATAGTTTAGTTGCACTGTTTAAAGTACTCAAAAGTTTAAAAAAAATCACTAGTTATAAATCAGTGTGAAATTTGTGATAGAACCATGACTGTTATGTTATTGTAAATGAAATTAATATGTTTTTCCCACGTTGCCCAGTTTTTAATAGATGAACAGTCATGTCTTCAAGAAAAGACTTAAGAAATGCATCAACTTTAAGTTGATCATTAATGGTATGCTGCATTTTTCACAATTTAATTTTTTTTCACCTTGTTGGTGATTAGTAAATCAAAAGTAAATTATTATATACAGTACTGTGTTTGAGTGGAGATAAAGATCAACTCTAGAAGTTCCTTTCTTTTTAAGAGTATTTGTAGTACTCACTGAATGAGGTTGATTTAACTTAAAAGGGTCGACAAGTATTTTAGTTTATTTTGCAGTTTAAACATTGGTAATAACTTTAGACACCAACAAATGAGCACTCATGCACATTTTGAATTTTCATTTTTTTCCCCACAATAATTTTCTAAATAAACTTATGGGTTTTGTAACTTTTGTCTCATAATATTCGTGTGATATCTCAAAGGTGGAAGACAAGAAAGACAGTGATGATGAGAAGTCTGATCGCAACAGACCATGGTGGAAGAAACGGTTTGTGTCGGCCATTCCCAAAGGTTTGTTTGTTTTTGTCATCCTTTTTGTCTGAAATGGAAGAAAATTTCTGTTAATTTAAAAGTGATTCTTTTGGTAGCACCCCTTTTTTTTTTTTTACTGTAGTTACAAAAACTTTTCCTAATCACAAGTGACATGAAAAGTAACGCTTTAAAGGGCAAAGCAACGCTGATTTTTAATGTGAGAAGGAGAATGATGATCTGTTGCTGAAACAATTCTGTTTGGAAAATGTTTTTTCTTTTCGTTAGAAGTTACTGCAGAGATGTGTCCAGTTCTTTTTCTCCCAGATCTCACGAGCCGCAGCGTTCTATAGACTTTTCAAAGCTGATCAGTCACTAAAGGAGCTTTAGTTGTGTAGATAATGTAGCTGTAGCCCTCCCAGCAGTGCTGTCAGCAAGCAGCTAATGGTCATTAGATAGACCTCTCTGTCATCAGCACTGATAGATGACACATATGTTGCTGCTGTTCTACTCTACAACGATCTCTCATACATCTGTCTGGAAAATAATGAGCCGGGCCCACATGAAAGGGCTGCTTATTATTCTTTGAGATAATGATTTTTTTTTAAATAAACAACAAAATGATTTTCAGAAAATAGAGAACTGTGTGCACATGAAACAAGAGAGCGGTGAAGATAAGTCAGCCTCTCACCAAACTCCAGTGGATTTGGTCGTATTTGTCTTGTTGCTCTGCATGGTGACTCGGTGAGTTGTCCTGCAGGGTGGCAGCCTGTGATTGAAAGGCCAACCCTGTCTGTTGTGTTCCTCACAGTGCTGTATTGGACGGCTGAGAGCGATATCCCAGGTAACGCTTTTCCACGCTGTCGTCACCAAGCTAGCTGTACCGCTGAAGGGCTGCGTGCCACGCTGCTTCGTAGCTGTAGATCTGTGATGTGACATGGTGTAGCCTGAGTCACAGAGTCACGCTCCTCATACGTGCATCTGTTTCAACACCCCTGTTCTGTTTTTATTTATTTTTACTTTTGCAACAGTTTCATTTCATCGTTTGCATAGTACAGAACTTCAGTGTGAAGATAATTTAAGTTTTTCATCTGCTGCCTAAGTATAGACTCATGTTTATTCAGTTAGCAACGATGTTGATCGAATAAACGTCTAGGAATTTTTGCATTTTTTTTTTTTTAATCCTGAATGTTTTATAATTTACAGTAGACCTTTGTGAAATTCAGCTGCAAGCCCCAAAGGGTTTCATTCTCAAGTTTTAATTTTTTGCTTATTGTGTTTTAAAGTAACTATATATCCACAAAAATAACTCGATACTAAAGTGGCTGTCAATAGGTGACGCACTGTGAGCCTGTCGTTGTATCATCGTTGTTCCTCTGCCCTGGTCAGTCATCGCTTGTCTCCTCTCCACAGCTCCCATCACAGCTTTTAAGAAAAGGGACAAACAAGAGAAAAATGATTCAGCCCAGGAACGAGTGCCACAAGGTCGGTAACAGTTTATAAATCCTTGCTGGCCCAAGACACGCACCAGGTGGATTTTATTTGAATTCAGCTCGTTTCTGTGTGCTTTTGTCAGATGAGCCGTTGCCCCGGCAGAACAGTCAAGCCCAGGCAGCTGAGGACATCTTGGACAAGTACAGGAACATCAAGAAGCCAAGTGACGTCGCCTCAGCAGGGGCCTCTTATGATGGACCAGGAGGTCGGGGAACAAAACGTGCACACACAGATGGGAAACGCTGTTGCAGTAGACAAAATATTTAGTGTTCTTTTTATGTTTGTTTTCAGATCTTTGTGTTGAAGACAATGGGAATGACCCTCCGAGAGAAGACGCTCTGCAGAACATTTCTGCTGATGACCTGCCTGACTCAGCCAGCCAGACAGCACAGCAACATGATTCCAAGTTCTCCTTCAGGTTACACGCTCAACATCCCGAGAAAAGCTAATCTTCCAATTGCCTTATGTTGTTTAATTTTTATAACAAATATTGCCATGTGGTCATTATTAATTATCTTTTTTCAGTGATGCAAAGAAGAAGCTGAGGTTGGCTTTGTGTTCTGCTGACTCAGTAGCTCTCCCCATCATGGCACCAGCAACCACACGTAACGGGCTGCCTGATCACATGGATCCAGAAGGTAGAAGTCCTTCATTATCTGTGACACGCTTATACTTTAAGGAAAAAATAAGTTTGTTTTTTGTTTTGTTGAGGCTTTAATTCAGAGGAAAACAATTGACTGATGTTGATCTGTTTGTTATGATGAATAAGTAACACAATAAAATGATTTAAAAGAAAAAAGTCTTTGTGTACCAAACAACACAATTATCACTTGAGCAAGTTTTTACAATTTCTCCAGGGTGTGGGTATCATTGTCACAGGTCTCCATAGGGACCAATGTGAACACCCCTGATGTTGGCAAACATCCATTCTGCTGAAAGTGTCCTCAAGCAAAACAGCAATTCTGTACAACCTCCAGATTCTGACTCACCTTTGAAAGTTTTGGGCAAGGTTAAAGAAAAGTCCCACTGCTGTGCATTAAATCATAACACACGTGTAATCACACAAATTACTACTGACCCATCAATTTATCAAACAGATGCAAGTGCCTCGTAAAATAAAACCTTTTATTTTGACTTTCTTTCTCAGCCTCACTCGTAACCAAAATAAGGACAAAATACTAAAAGAGCAAAACCTACCAAGTCTAAAAGTCTTCAGTCACATTGTGATGTGACGGCAGCAGATTGTTTACTCACCAGGTGATCCTTTGTTAGCAGCAAAATGTTCAGTCCTGTTTCTACTGTCTACTTTCTTTCAGACAATGAGATTGTCTGCTTCCTAAAGGTCCAGCTAGCAGAAGCAATCAACCTTCAGGATAAGAACCAAATTGCCCAGATCCAGGAGACCACACGCTGCGTCAGCCGCTTCGATGCACGCACCTGCAGGAAGCTGCTGGCTGCCATTGCAGAAGACTACAGGTAAATGTGGAGGCCTGGAGAAATTGGTCAGTCTCCTAAATGTACCGTATTTTCGCCCTATAAGTCGCAGTTTTTTGCATAATTTACATGTCCTGCAACTTATAGGCCGAAGCGACGTATTTGTTTTTTCCCATATTTATAAACTAATTTTTGGCTGAGATATGACCGTTTTCATTCATTCTGACTGAAAATATTGAACACTACCATTTTCAGCCCCTAGATAGCTGTCGAGTATTATGGTATGCCGTTGTATCATGTAATAGGTAAAAGTGGCTATTAATGACACAATTGGCTTGTCATAGCCTGACACGGTTGTCTGCCTGGAGCAACCCTCAAATCAGCTCAATTTCGCTGCACTGCCCCGGTGAAATGCAGCTGATTTGACCATTGAAGTGCATTTATTAAGTAAAAGTTCAACAGAGACACACTTTTACTATAATTTTGAGCAGACAAATAATTGTTTTTCAGTGTTAATCTTGTTAAATTCTTGTTAAAGTCCTCTTGTGCACGCTCCCTCGGCCACCATTTGGCAGCCAATCGATTTTTGGCACAACACCGGCCCATATTTCCGGGTTGTCACCGGTGATGCGTAATAGATGCGATGTATTTATGGAGTTTTCCACTTTATTACACATATTTGGGCTGATGCGACTTATAGGGTGGTGCGACGTGTACGGTGGAAAATACGGTAGTGCTGAACTGCATCATAAACATTTTTATCCTTTTATTCTGGTAGATTCAGGCTTTTTTACATTATTGTTGGTGATATGTTTTGTATAACTTTTTCAACATAATCTTGCATGATTAAACAATGGTTATGCATGAAATTGTTGCAAAATGTTTTTACTGTGCATATAGGTTTACATAAATTCATACCTTTATTGGAAATGTAAACCCTTTTATGTGTTTTAAACTAATTCTTGGCATGCATGAAGTTGTTCGAGTGAAATAATGAAATGTATATTTTGTGTGTTTACTTCAGAAAGCGCGCTCCATACATAGCCTATCTGACCAGGTGTCGCCAGGGCCTGCAGACCTCCCAGGCCCATTTGGAGAGGCTCCTACAGAGGGTGTTAAGAGACAAGGAAGTGGCAAATCGCTACTTCACCACCGTCTGTGTTCGTCTCCTTCTTGAACATATGGAGTCAAAGATGCTCGACTTCATTAAAGGTATTTCAACATGCTCACCTTTTGTGTTTCTAAACCCCTGATCGTATTAACTGTCCAACCTTCTGAGCAGAGAGTTCTCATTTTCATGCCAGCTTTACTCTCTGCTGGTTTTAACATGCTCTGTTAGGACCCTCATTCAATTACTCCACAGAGACAACAATAAAATTCCAAAATAATATTTAAAAATAATTATAAAACTTGTGTTTTTATTTCCGTATTTATTGTTGTCCAAGTGATATGACAAAATTCAACATAAAGTACCAAGCCCAGCACAGGAGGAGCATTAATTCGGTTGTTTTTGTGCTTGCCTCAAGCGTTCCAAGGGTGCACAGCAGCTGATGACAAGACAGCAGCGGTGGAGGATTTTCTGCGCTACTTGTACGGTGCCATGGCCCGTGATGCCATTTGGCAGTATGCAAGCGAAGACCAGCTGCAGGATGCCCAGATGGCTATCGAACGCAGCGTTATGAACCGCATCTTCAAGCTGGCTTTCTACCCCAATCAGGATGGAGATATTCTCAGAGACCAGTGAGTAGCTGCAACACTAAACAAGTTCAGAGCTATTCTATTTCTCACAGCAACAAGTAATGTTTTTTAATTACAGGAAAAATGTGGTTTCATGCCCTAATCTGTTTTTATCAATGTAAATTTTTGTTTGTAATCTTTCACAAACTTTTACTTAAATATATTTGTAACTGAGATAGAGTATGTAACTGTAATGTACTGTCATGGTTACGCTTCTCCACTGATCGACAAATGTAGTTCTGCTATAAAGAGCCCCTATTGCCACCTGGTGAATATTTTTCTAGACCCACTCCTGACTGTAGGCCAGATTCTCTAGACAGATGTTTGAGTTTCCTACTTATTTTTGATGGGGGAGTTCAAAGGTCAGCTGTCAAATAGAGTTAGACAAATGGATGAATATGTCCGCCATGGGAAATTCAAGGATTCAAGATTCTTTGTCATTCGCATCACATGTGGTACATGAGGTGGAATGAAATTGTGTACAGTGTCCCAATTACATCCAGCAATAAAAATGTAAAAGAAAAACAGTAATAAGATCTAAGATATGTACTAAGAAAAACGTTAACTAAAAATACACTAAGCACTAATTGCATAAAAACAATTCGCCAAACAGCAGCACGAACATGAGTCTGTGTGAGCAGATGATCACGCATGAACACATCAACATGAAATAGATCAGCAGCAACATGAAACAGATCAGCAGCAACATGAAACAGATCAGCAGCGACATGATGTGATTTTTCACAGTGATTATTCTGGTTAGATTCATGAGTCTAACAGCCTCAGGGTAGAAGCTGTTCCTCAGTCCAGTGGTTCTACACTTAATGCTCCTCAACCTCTTGCCTGAGGGAAGCAGGGCAAAAAGTGTGTGCTGGGTGAGTGGGGTCCTTCATGATGCAGAATTTTTTTGAACCCTTTCACCACCTGGCTTGCTATATTTTGAGATTATCTATTCAATATAGGTCCAAAATAAATTCCAATTACCTTATGGTGAAAAAGACATTCCACTGTATATTAACTGTGTCCAGAAGGATAACTATGATTCTCAAGAGGTTTATCCACAAAAACAATATAATATAACAATATAACCTACAAGTTATTTTTACAATGTAAAAAAAATTGTAGTCCATCAGGCAATAGATGTAGTTTCATAATAGTTTCTGCTTTATTTTTGCTAGTTTTAGTTTCCCTTTAAAGAATTTTAACCTGTAAATGTACAATTTAAATGTTATCTTACACAATACAGTCCACTTCATTTATTTCCTGCAGCAACGTCTCTAAACTCATATTATCTTTAGGTATAGTTTTGCTACTTATAGCTTTTAGCTACCTTTTGTTATTTTAGCTTTTAACCATGGTTTTGCTACTGATAGTTATTAGCTATTATTCTACAAACGTTTGCTCTTAACCACAGTTTTGCTCATTATATTAGCTTTTAGCTCTGGTTTAACTCATGTTAGTTCTGCTCTGTTCGTTTTATCTTTAACATTTCAGTTTTAGCTTATTCAACAAATGTCAGCAGTCGTTGACATTTTCTGTGAAGCTGCAGTTTCTCTAGTCTTAAACTGGTTTCATTTCTCTCCTCCCGTTCTGCGCAGGCTTTTCCATGAACACATCCAGCGGCTTTCAAAAGTTGTTACAGCAAATCACAGAGCTCTTCAAATACCAGAGGTATTATCTTGACAGACTTTTTTTTTTCCTCGTGTGTGTACAGAAAAGGCAGATATGAACCGACACTCTGAGTTTCTAAAATCGACTCTGGTAACTTTTTCTGGTTGTAGGTGTACCTAAAAGAAGCTCCCTGGCCGTCTGCACAGTCTGAGTTTCGGACCATCAATGCCTATAAGACCCCCCGAGACAAAGTCCAGTGTATTCTGCGGATGTGTTCCACCATCATGAATCTTCTCAGTTTAGCCAACGAAGACTCTGTGCCAGGAGCCGATGACTTTGTCCCCGTTCTTGTCTTCGTCCTCATAAGGGTGAGTTTTATTCTTATGTGACACTGAGCAAATTCAGCTGCGCTTCCTAAACTGTTTTCATTTCTTAGGATTTTATGCTTTTGACTATTATTCATCTGAAAATTCCTCCACACAACATTGTTGCACTGCAGCATAAAGATGTGCATAGATTACACACAAAAACAAACATATTTATGATTTAAATCTGTATGCTGTTGCACGAGCTTCTTTGAGCTCCTAATGGTCGCCCATCCCCACGTCTCCTCCCCTCCAGGCAAACCCGCCCTGCCTGCTGTCCACCGTTCAGTACATCAATAATTTCTACGCCAGCCGGCTGAGTGGGGAGGAGTGCTATTGGTGGATGCAGTTCACCGCGGCGGTGGAATTCATTAAGACCATCGACGATCGCAAGTGAAGCAGAACAGCCACCTGTATGGGCAGACTGCTGGGGAAGGAGCCGGGAGACTGGGAGACTTCCCAACCAACTGCTCCCTCTGCACAGCTTTGAAAACCTGGCTCTCAGCCTGCTCTTTATTTGTATAGCTTGTACATAGCCAGAGATGCTGAAGGAAAAACAAAATATATATTACTGTACGTATGTGGACAAATCCAGGTTTGTGTAGGGGGGGGGGGGGCAGCTTTGTGGACAATTGGCAACATATCAACCCAAAACTGATTTAAATTTGTCTTCATCTTTTTTCAGTTTCTCTTCTCATTAAAAATGTTTCATATATACAATTACCAATTAAGACATTAAATTTATTTAGAATATAATCTTATAAAAAAGGGACCAGACTTCCTTGATGATAGTATTTGTTTTTATTTGTTTTCCACCTGGGTTAGAGGGATAGCTTCCAATTAAATGACAGTATGTTTATTTAATGCATTTTTCTCACACTGATCTACAATCATGACTTCTGATGGCATTTAGTGACATTCACACAATACCATACCCTCAATAGTTAGTTCATCTTACAATTAGGCAGCTTGTTTCATCAGTTTTTAAAAAATGTAATCTTACTCTAAAACATTCGTTAATCTGGACACAAGGGCCTCTGTGTGTATGAGATGAAATGTATTTATTTCTGTTTTCCTATTTAATGTTTTAGACATGAACATGCACATCATGCCCGTTCAAGATGTCAGAGGCAAGCAATGTTACAACAAACTTGGCTTGATATGCTGGAGTTAGGAAGGCACCTTAGTATTGAGAAGCCCTTGGGGGGTGCAGGGGGGGGGGGGGGGGGGTACTGAGCGGTGAAGTCAGGGTCAACTTGTGCACACAGCTGTAGTGGCATTTAATGGATATAATGAAAACTGTGCCTTTGCGGGGTGCTCTGTGTAGTTATTTTTGACGCCATTTTTTGTTTTTCATGGAATATTTCAATATAGATATGACCCCCCCCACCCACACACACACACACACACTCCGATGGGCCAACCACATCTTACTGCAGTAACCAGACATTTCATACTAACACGGCTCAGTCTTTTCTGCACACCTGAGAGCAATTATCTTTTTATTTAATTTTTTTTTTTTTTTTACATCCTACCTCAGAGTTGAGCCTGATATCAGAAATATATACAGTAACTGTCCTGCGTTTATTAAAAACAGTACTGAACTGAATTTACACTGGTGTGGTGGGGGAAATTGCAAAACAGAGATTGAAGTGAAAGATATCTCCTGTGGTGCTCAAGGTGGTGTCATCACCCTTTATCAAACAAGCCTTAGTTAATGAGCTAAGACAAAATAGTTTTTTATTAATATACCCGAGATGCCACATGTCTCCACATGGGCAGAGCAGTTGACGCTTGACGCTCTACCTCTTTAAAAATGTTCAAGAAAGGGACTTGTATTTATGTGCGCTTATATTCCCCCTCTCTCCCAATTTGACGTGTTGTGATGAGTCATATTTTTCCAGTTATATTTCAAGCATGTCTACTTATCCAGAAGCGACTAAATCTCTTTTTTTTCCCCTTAAAATATATATTTTTGTGTGCGCAGTAGTTGTGCCACATGTAATATAGTTTCCAGTAACTTCACAGTTACTGGCTGGACAGTAAAATAGAAGTCCAGTTAATCAACACTATTGACCGTCTACTGACTTTTCGTTCACGCTGAAGTAGCTGGTGTAGATGTGGGTGTGGTGGTCTTTTGTTTTTGCTTTGCGAGTGTGAGATGCGAGTGGTTGACCCTCTGCCTCCTCTTGCATGAAGTCATTGAACGGTCTGTACATTCTCAATCGTAACTGCAGAATAGGATTAGTTTGTGTCAAAGGTCCGTAACTGAACCTGCAAGAGGACGCAAAGTTTCCCTTTTTCTCCGTGATAACTTGCCTATCAGATCTTGGTATATTTTGCACAAAAACACTCGTGTTTTCTTGAAAACTTGGACAGGGAGCAGCGCATTTTGGCGTGTCAAGTCAACATAACCGCTGTGAGTAAAATATTAGACGCGCTCGCCGTTGCTCTTTTAAGCCGGCGAGCAGTCGCAGTATTGGGCAGCGTCAAAAACCTCGTGTTGTGTTTGTGCAGCAGACGAACAGGTTTCATGTGCGTGTGTGTATATGCAGTGCACCTCCTCTGCAGTCAGTGGAGTCAATTTGATGAGAAAACCAGGCACTGGAAAATCAAGCTGCAGGTTGCATCTATGCTAATTAGTTTTATGTGATGTCACTTTAATTGGGAATATGTACTCTGCACGAATCTCATCAAATTATTTGGACCTGGCCCGTGTGCCGTCATGTCCTCAGAAATCCGATCCCAGCCGTGGTCACGGGTGACTTCCTGTTCCTGAAGGGTATACAAAGGCACTAAATCATTGCACAAAAAACAAACCGTGATTGTGTCGACCACTGAGGTTCTAGTCTTCGTGTTGTGCAGCCAGACAGGATAAAGTGTTTGCTCTTCAGAGCATCAGTGCACTGCTCCCTGTACAACACAAATGATGGGGGGGGGGGGGGGGTAAAGTTTTACATCTTTCATCTGATTTTAAATTTGTAAGCTTGCACAACAATGTGGGGAAAGCCAGTTTGTCTTTACTGTGATTAATGCATTCTGTAAATCTTTAAAAATAATAAAAGGAGCAGACATTTTCTCTCTCTTCGCACTTGGTTTTTATTTTTTAACCCCTTTCTTTTCATTTTATTGACCTTTTTGGGTTCATGCACAGCAGAAGCAGTGTTTGGTTATTTTGGGACTTCTCTCACAATAGATGAGAACCTTATTAAAAAAAAAAAAATGCACAGAGTATAATTGTGACTGGGGGCAGTGGAGCAGCATCATCCCATTTAGAAGCCACAAACGCCAACCTCTCTACAAACATTTCATTACTGCTGACAAGTGCTTCAAAGGATTGTAATTGGAGATTTCCCCTCATCTAAAAGCCATCCTTACTTCTCTAATACTTTTTTTTTTCATCATAAACTTCTTCACGGGGTGCTTTGTGTTCCCTGATGATATCTCTCAATTGTTAATTTAAATTCAAATATTAATGTGCGAAGTTAATTAGTTGCATAAGCCAGTGGGCACATGGAGCAGATTTAAAGATTGGATCTTTGGATCATGTGGCACCTGATTTCAGACAAAGAAGCTCGGGTTGGATTTAAACAGTTGTTCATGCCTCTTTTTTTTAATTTTTTTTATCCAGTTCTACCTTCCTGTGGTTGAATTAGAAGTTTTTACAGGTGCGGCTGACCATTTTAGTGTTTTTGACTTGTTTGTGGTTATGATGTCATTCTCCTTGAAGACATCAGCAGGCCTCTGGTCTCACCCAGATGGCTGTGGGATAAACAGATGATCAGTCCAGCGGGACTCGTGCATGACTTCACATGTTGGTGTGGTACTTCCTGACTGTGTGTGTGTGTGTGGGGGGTGGGGGGGGGGGGGGGGGGGGGGGGGGGGGGGGAGGTGGGGGCTCCCACCTTAGCATCAGACAATGATTTCATGGTTTCTAAAAAAAATTGCCTCTGTTCCTGCTGTGGGGAAATAAATGCAATTTGTTTCCATAGCTCACCACAACAGCATAAAGAAAAGTCTCTTACATGATTACTCTTTTTATTTGTAACGGTGCAAAAACAAACAAAAATCATATATAGCTTCATTCCTTATAATTTAAACATTCATTAAAGAAATGCACATCTTGTGCTTTTCATGCCAGATTTTTAAACTAAGATCATCTTGTGTTGAGAAATGACTACTGTTGTAGCCTTAACTGGTCAAATCCTGCAGTCTCATGAGGTATTGCACTCAGGTTTTGTGTTGTGATGACTCTCAGCTACTACCACATCAAAGTTTTAAACAATCTCTATAATGGACTGATTAATATCCATTTCTGTTTTAAGGGTCCGTTATGTGGTGCTTCACATCTTGCGTTGTATTGGTTAAAAAAAAAAAAACAGTTTTAGAGATACAGCCAATGATTATTTCCTAAAGGTTTTATAAAAATCCATTCAGGTCCATGAAAGATCAGGTCTCTTATTGTAGATGAGTCCTCGAGGCTCAATGGGATTAACCTATATACATAAAGGTTGAATGAATGAGCTACTGTGTTTTGCTAACAGACAGAGCTATAGCTATTGGCAGTTTTAAAATTTAGTATTTGCAATATGTATTAACGACTCTCATCTACTACCACACCAAATTTTAGCTCAAAGCCTAAAAATGACTGAGTTATAGCCACTTTTGTGTCTGCCAAGAGTGGCCATCTTGAATCAGGCTGACTGCAACCAGTGAACAAGTTTAATTAAAATCTGTCCCCTGATTTAGGAGATATTTTGCTAACAGACACACACACTCAGACATAGGCAACAACGTAACCGGCTCGGCGATGGGTTAAAACCCACACAAAGCTCCACGCATAAGTCCGGGTGCAGTACCGTGGGTGTCCGGCAGATGGCGGACGCGCCATTCCTGAGGACGGTGAGCAGGTCTGATCAGAGACAAAGAAGTCCACCGAGCTCCACATGTCACGATTTAAAAATATTTGAACCTGCGGGCTGTAAGTGTTACTAAACTGTATTTAAAAAAAAAACTTTTATTAATAATTATAATGAATGGTTTAATGTTATTTTAGAGGAAAATTAGTTTTTTTAATTTTACCTATACGATAAAAATGTTTGCTGTTATGCAAAATTCTGCATGCCATTTTATATATATATATATATATATATATATATATATATATATATATATATATATATATATATTCCAATATGTCAAACACTCCTATTACGCACCCTCTTTTATTTAACCCTTTACGTGCGGACATTTAAACGCTGTGTACAGTCCACATGTGCTCTCAGGACAAAACAGCACGAGGCAGCAGCATGTCAATTAAATTAAACTTGGAGGGGGGTAGATGAGAGAGAGAGGGAGGGATGGGTGGGCTAAATGAACAAAATGTCAAATACACATATTAAAACTTAAATGAAACAGCCGCGAGGATGGAGGCAGATGAGAAGATTAAAACTCAAAGGGATACCAAGTCTCAGTGCCCAGAGGTGCTGATATTGAAAGAGATGCAAATGGTAAAAGTGAGCTCCACTCATTTCAGCCTTTAAACTGCACAGACAAAAAGGCTAAGATAAGAAAAAGCAACACTTTAGCTTTGTTTTATCATTGCAAGGTTGCTATTATTTTCAGGGTTGTGGAAATATTGCAACACTTCACTAAAACACTGAAGTGTTGCTTGAAAAAAAAAAAAGAGCTAAAATAAAGGAATGGGTTGCACTCCCTTTCACTACTACTACCACAAAAACATCAATTAGATAAAAGTGTCAGTTACAGTGGTGTTTCTGCATCCGCCTTCCTTATATTTTGCTTATATCATTAGAAAAAGAACAATTTTCACAGTCTGGGCTAATCACCTCTGAGAGAAAGAGTGGGTGGTGACATTAAATTGAACCGTGGAAATGGAACAGGAATTAGATGCACTTAGCCATCACATGTTAATGGCAGCAATCAACAGCCAATTACCCAGCGTACTTGAGTACCTTGACAAGTGCAGGTGTAGCCTACAACTAACACGGGCCCTCTATTGTGTATTTTCATAAATCCGACAGTAAACTCCCTCTCTGATTGAGCGTGCATGGTTCATTCGGGTTGCAATTAGGAAATATTGTTAGGGGAAGTGTCAAGTGTTGATTGGAAGGAGAAAAAAAAACCCCAAAGAGCATAATTCTTGCACTTTGTCT